TGTATGTATGTATGTATGTATGTATGTATGTATGTATGTATGTATGTATGTATGTATGTATGTATGTATATATATATATATATTATGTATGTATTATGTTTGCGTGTATTAGTGTATGTATGTATGCATGTATGTATGTATGCATGTATGTATGCATGAGTTTGTATGTGTCTATGTATGTATGAACATGTAAGAGTATGTGCACATGTGCATTTTTTAGTGTGTGTGATTGTGTATGTATGATGTATGTATGATGTGTGTGTGCATGTATTTTTTTATATAAACATAATATGATTTACTGATAACATGCAATTGTGGTCCGAAAGACAAGTGCTTGGAAGGGCCGAATGGAAGACATGCCTGCGTGTCCAGTTTGTAACCCTTTGGAAATTAGGTTTGTTGGTACATTCATTTGTTCTCTCTCTCTCTTCTTCATATTCTTCTTCCTCTTCATCTTCTTCTAATTCTTATTCTTCTTCTTCCCATTCCAATCTGCTGTTGTCCTGATGAACTCCATTTTTTTTCTGTTGCCTATTTACACATCGTGTGATTATACCTATGTCAGCATGTGACCACTTGTGTGAAATCATGTACATTAAGAGAGGAACAATTAATTGTACATCATATTAAAACACAGAAGTTTTAAACAAATCCAGATGTCAGAGCTCTTGGCAATATTTGTTTCAATAATTGATTTCAGTATATAAGTTTTATGCTCTAATAAAACACAAACACCCACAAAATAAAAAACTTACGGTAACAAAAATGAGCTGTTTAAACATGAGGCACTTGAGAAGATCTTTCCAATTATACTGGCGAATGGAGAGAAAAAAAAATACACTTTAGAGTTTTATGTTACATGCTATGTGGGCCAACACAAAATGATTTTCCATTTTCAACAATATCTTTAAAAATATTTCAGATCGTAGTTCCTGGCAAGTCAATGACAGACTAGGCATGGTTAAACTGAATAGAACATTTATTTACATGTTTTTATTATGCAAATCCATATTAGTAATATAAAAAAGAAAACATGCACACAAAGTAAATTAATTCAACTAAAACAAACTATGACAAGCAAGAAAGTTCAATGGGGAAAGGGGGAATGGGAAAAGGAAGAAATGTGCACAGATACAACCAGTCTTCTTCAGTGAATAAAATATTCAATATTTTGTTGTTTTTCTTCTTCTTCTTATACTCCAGGTAGTCACATCTATCCACAGCCGTCTGTTTCATGCACTTTCCATCAATCCTGACACAGATGATCTACCATGCCATGATGTCAAACTGTCCAACATCTTCTCTTTTGTTTATCACTGCTTTTTTCCCCCCTTTAACTTGCTCTAGTTTCTCCTCCTCCCCATGAGACCAGTAATTGTAGATTGTCTCCTTCTAATATGTATAATAATTTCTTTAAAGACATCTTCATAATTTTTTTAAATCTGTTGAATGTCTTCTCATCCTTCTTCTATAAAACCACTTCTCTGCCACTTTTACATATTTCACAAAAGAGTTAACCGTCCATTTTTCATTTCTATATATTAGGATTGGAATTATATAGCCACCCTGTTTGTTGTTTTATTCATTTACAAATCCTGTGGTCAAAATGTTTAGTTATCTCTATATACATGAGTTTTCTTTTACCCTGGCTGAGCTTACAGGTCATCATGTTTTAGTGAATTTATTTCTTCTTCTTCTGCATCTGTCCTTAAAAGGACAGTTAGTACATTACTTTGCTGTTTACAGCCAGTCTGCATTATCTTTATCTTTCAGTACACAAACAATTTCAGTAAATTCCTAGTCACCTTTCATGACATGCTTGTTAGGGGGGCAGTGGGTCTATTCTTTCTTTCCTCTGAAATGGGACCCCGTAACCAATACAAAAAGATTCCTTTCTCATGTTCGGAACAACTGCAGTCAGCACTGTTTTCCTAAGCACAAAAGGCAAGCTATGCATTTGACATTAAGTAAAATATTTTGACTTTAAAAAAACTACACTCACTTTGGAGGTATCACATCTGGGCTCAAAGAATAAAGCATACTGACTGTCTCCTGTGACAGAGTGAGAATCTGTTTGGATGGGTCCTCATTTCTGAAGTCTTCAGAATCACACTTTTGCTGAAACAATGTTTCACAAAATAATGAATATTTTGTGTCTGTTTAATTATTATAACACATTAAAATATTATAAATGTTTAAAACACACCACTTTTAAAGAATGGCATACTATTTCTTGCATTCCACCGGCCATTCCAGATTAGAGTTTGAAGGTTGTAAGAAGTTTCTCAGCATGTAACTCCTTTACCTCTAATTTGACTGTAAATGTGTCCTTCTTTTCCATACCTCAACACATATCTATCAAGAATCTTCCCTTGTTGGTTTCCCCTTTTATAAGTCTTTTTGCTAATACATTATGTTCCACTATCTCTTATCTTTAATAATGTGACCAACAAAAAATGTAATTGTCTCTTTCTGGTGTTTGTGTCAAGCTGCTGTCAGGTCCTAGATTCTGTGAAACATTTAGATTTCTATTAGTCATCTAAATTCTAAAAACTGCACATAATGAAAATTAACAATAAATATAACTATAAACATATATAAGGATATGAATTTCATATTCACATTTTGAATGTGTTTAAATATTTTATACAAATCCAAAATAGTCAAGTAATAATTGAAAATGGGTGTTTCTCAGGTGAAAGTAAATAACTAACAATAGTTCTGTTTTTATGGGAGGAAGGGGGGGGGGGGGGGGGGGGAAGGGGGGGGGTTAAGAATTTAATATACAATATAAAACGTAAATGTCTTTTAGAAGTGCTCAGCAAACAGACATGAAAATCTTATATTACAAAATTATATATTACATTGCGGCAATGAATAACCAGTTAACATTAACTTACCTTTGCTGCCACTACAGTAATAAAAGAATGATTTCCCCCTGCATGTATTGTTTTTATCCTATGTTGTTGATCTGTGTTTTCTATTGGCAGACACAACGTTGATGGTTGATTGTCACTGGTTTCGACAAAAAGGCCTGACAAAGTAATATGACAGTTCTCATTTTCTTCCTCCATCACTGAAAAGTGTCCAATCCCTCCAAAACCAAATATATGGAGTCTGCCAGACTTGGGCACATAGGCTAAGGTGTGATTGCTATAGAATTGAATTTTAAAAAGTCAATTATTTGGCAAAACAATAGTTTAATTATAAAACAAAGAAAGGATGACTTAAAAAAAAGGGGGAAACCAGGTGCAATGAAATGTTTATACATCAGTCTGATTTTTCAACAATGCACTCTCAAATGCATGATATTAACCATGACTGGACATCAGCAGAACCATGTAATGAGTGATACATATTATTTAGCTGCTGGAACACTTAAGTGAATATTACAGTTATCTGGAAAATAATACTTATACAATCAACATAATATTAAACAGCCACGGGTAATAGCTAGGGAAACATAAATGTCTATTATCTGAAATTTCAATAAATTCGATACATCCCAATTATAACCCAGAAGTGTTGAACAACATACTGTAGTCAAATTACTACAGCTTCCACTGGATAGGGATGTATAAAAGTTGTCTCCATGTGGGAGGCAATTTTTTGGTTATTTGAAGCCCCACCCTGGCTTCTGCTGGGGTATAACTGGGGCATAGTTATGACCTAGCCATAGATATGGCCTAACGGCTGAAATGGATGTCTGGGACCTTTCCACCGGTGATCCCCATCTGCATAGTGGCAGTTTGTGTCACCGGGTGTTTATTGCTTGTGTGATGTCCTGGTGGGGTACAACTACCTACCAGTCTAACTGGATAGGACACAAGCTAAAAACCTGATGAAATTATAGTTTGCACTGGAACCCACAAGATCCAAAGAATAAAAACATGAAGTGAGCTACTAGGGATAGCAAAGAATAGGACAACTTGGCAAGAGTTGGTAGAGGGTCTATGCTCCAGTGGGAGATAAAAGGCAGAAGTAGAAAAGTGCTATTTCTTTCTGACCACATCCACATTCTGAAACCAGTTAATAACTTGTTCATGTCACACGTGTAGTGATGCCCTGCAAACAGCACTGAGTTACCATATGGAATGTCCAGCCTACTATCATTACTGCCTGTATGCACTACTTATACAGTGTACGCAGATAGGTATTTGATCTTATTCTCAGTACAATGGTGATTAACTCTTTCAAGTCTAGGCAATCATTGCCTTAGCTTTCCTATCCTGAACACGTGTTACTTAGAGTAAGATATGTCTGGGTCTAAACAGGTTTAAAAAAAAATACAACTATAGAACAAATATTAAAGTTAACTTTGGAATGGAATGAGTTAATGTCCCAACTAGTTGAAGAAGATTTTTAAAAGCATGCTAAACAAAGAGTTGCCATTTAATGCACAGTAAAGTACTTCACTCTTTTTATTAACAAGCAACTCACTATGTGTTTTATTGGTGTCTCTTTTATATGATATACTACTTTTTTTTAACCTCATTTGTGTCCCATTTTATATTGGTGGCACTACTTTAAAATTATGTAAATGCAATTTTGGCCATTTTCACCTAAAGGGATGTTATTTGACAATTTACAATATGACAAAAGCATACACTTGAATTCCTACTCCAAGCAGGTCACAATGAAATATTATTTATCATGCACCTTCACAATTTTTATTTCTCACTTTAAGGTGAAGTGTTTTCAAATCAAGAATTGTGCGCTAAGGTTACTCTGGCATAGTGTTAATGATATGAACTAGTGAACTAAATATCCTTGCAATAAAAAAATTATTAAGACTGCAACCTTGAATAGCTTATTTCAATATAGCAGAAGACACTTGTTCTATATGTCGGGTACATAATAACAGTGAACATTATTTACTATACTGCAAGAAATATGAATTCAAAAAGACTACCCTTAATAAAAGATATGACCTGCTGCAATAAGCCTATTCAAAATGTAAACATGCTGGGAATAAACTGCAGTCACCCCCAATATTTTCACCATTTTGGGGAATAGATAGCTCTAGAAAACTACAGGAAAGGGTTAAAACAACAGATTAAACAACATATCACAAGAACAAAGGTTAGCATACAAGGTTTTAAAACAGAATAATGGTATCATAAATCACTTTCAATATTCCCAAAGATAGATTATACACTATGAATACCGTAACTGTTTGAAAAACACACTTTTATTAAACTTGACAATCTATACTTCTACAAACTGTTACAATAAGTATTAAAAAAACTATGCAGTATTAAATAGCCAAAAATAATTGATACGCAGTATTAAATAGCCAAAAATAATTGATAAGCACAAATATTCATTACTGAAAAGAACTCTATATATCCCTAATATAACAAGGAGAGTAGAATAGGATATTGTTGATTAAATTACTACTTATTCTTCTTGTCCATGCCATGTGGCATTGGTAGTCATATCCTTCCACAACTTTCTGTCTCATGAACTTTCAATCATTTCAATCAACTGATACAGATGATCCTCCATGCCATGATGTCACACTGTACAGCATCTTTTCTCTCTGTCTCCCTCTGCATCTCTTCCCCACCAACTTTCCTACTGTCACTATGAACTCCAATTTTCCCCTCACACCACCAAAGAATGAAGATTGTCTCTTTATCATGGGGGGTAATCAGTTCTCTTCCTGAGTCGGTTTCTTCCAAGACATCTTCATTATTCCTTTTATCGGTTAATGGTATTCTCATTACTCATTTATAAAACCATATCTCCTCAGCTTCCAAATAATTGTTTATTAATCTACTAACTGTTATTCCTAAATGAACTTACTCTGCTCCATTTGCTACATTGCCTACTATACCTTATAGTGTTATTATTTAAACTTATTCAAATGAACATTTAATAAAGTAGTAACTTTTTAGGATATAACAAGTTAAAACAACATCTGTCTAGAACTGAAAGATTTAACTGTCTATACTACATCTACCTGCCACAAGCTATCTGGGAAACCTCACAACCAGACAGCTGCTTCACTTGTTTTGGTGTAGTTTCATCACTGTTACTGCAATGACCAAGCTGCCCCTGACTGCCAGCCCCAAATGTAAATACAGAGCCATCCTGGAAAATAAAACAGTTATATGATTTAGAAAAAGAAAAAAAAAACAGTCTTAAAAAAATAACCAAATAATAACCCCAAACAAAAACATTTAAACAAATACTACAGTATTTTTCAGAAATGAATTTTTTTTTAAAGAGCAGGTTTTAATCACAACTGTGCTCCTAATGGTCAGTCTTTAAATGCTTAGATGGCTAGGACACATGTGGACGATGGAGGATGGCTGAGACCCTAAGGATATCCTCTATGGTGAAATAGCCGGGTAGATTATGTTGAGGTTGGCCTTTACTACGAAAGAAAGATATTTGCAAGAGGAAAATGAATTATAAAGTTTCTGAGGTGGATTCTTCCGGTCAAAATAGACCACAGGCATGGTCATTGTTTAGCTTCTCGCAGATTGCGGCCTTTGCATTTTCCTCCATTTGTAGACTGAAAGGATAGTTTTGTTGTCTACTGAGTTAAGTACATGTAGCGACACTGTGAGCTGCAGATTTCATTCAGAATGTTTTTTTTTAACTGTGACCAACGTAGTGTTGCAAACAGTAGATTCAGAAAATAGTGAGTGGCCTAATGCCACAGAATTGGTGGTGCCTTATGTGATTAAATCTGTCAATGATGAACTGCATTTCTGATGATGGACTGTTAGTGTTAGCACTTCTGATGGTTGCCTTATGCTTTTAATGCTTCTGTATGCTAGTGGATATGCTGAGACTGCAGTCTATGTCAATTTTTCCACAAGGGACAGTGATGGACATAGTGTGTGTTTTTCACTGGCTAAGAAACAGAGCAACCATGGGGCAGTCTGTTTACTAGGAAGTTGAAACTAAGATTACCAGGTGGATTCACAGGAACATAGGCATGGATTGTGTTTTATGGAGGGAGAAAGTTAGAATGGAGAAAGGGATAAAGGAGAAAATGATTGCAGATAGGTTAAAAGCAAGCATCTGAGAAAAATCATGTTAAATGCAAGCTGTGACAGCAGTGGTCTTTGTAATAAATCATTTTCTCATTGTTAATAATGTTCACATTTGAAAATGAGGTTAATTGCTAAACATAAATTATAAAATAATCTCAAAAGATGCCCCCGCCCCCCCAAAAAAAGTTATGTGTGTAAGATTCTGTATTTATTTCTAGAAATAAATTTTAGGTGTGAAGAATTGTGTAAATTGTAGTCTACCAAGAATTCTTGCAATATAACTGGACAACAGCTGTGCGTTTAAACCTTAAAAGTTAAGTAAAGATCCTTGGACATAAGATGCTGCACCCATTATAGACTAGTTGGCCCTCAATGAGTGATGTGGTCAATATCGCACAGGATATAATATACAATCACGTTTCTCCATTGTGGGTTTCAGGGTCCCACTGCGGAGAAGACAAGAATGGACCACTGCTTTCCTATCAAGTAAGTTATAAGATTTGACTAACTGGGGGCTTTCTTTAAAGTCGGAGTACATCTGCTTGAGGCAAGAAACCAGCAATCTGCATACGAATAAGTAAGATCTGTAAAACATATGTGCCCACAAAACTCAGGTTCTGGAAAAAACTTAAGTCCAAAGGCAGATGAACAACGAGAACTTTTCACCACAATTTACAGCTGGTAAACATAAAGAAGAAGGCAATCATGTTAAAAATTTAGTAACAGAAACATGACAAATGTCAAGTCCTAACTAACTTAACTATATACCTGAAGATTAGAAAATGAATCTTGCATTTGTATAGTTATCATGAGCACAGAAGTAAGCAAACACCAAGGACTGATAGCTGCAGACAGCACTAGATCACTTATAATAAACAAAGGGAAAAGGCTAATTGACATTTATGGATGGAATAGTCTTATTATCCATATGTAGAAAGACACAAGTCAAGAGAAGCAAAAGAAGAAAGCAATACATATGCTGAAAGCTTAGAAAGCTGTACAACAAATCTAGATAATATACTGAGGTAAAAGAAGAACAATGTAATACAGAAAGAAATGTCTTGTTGTTGAATACCTGAGCTATGGAAATGCAGAAAGCGTAAGAAAAACGGAGATAAATACAAATCTGACAAGAATACTATAGTAGCAGTCACTACAGACAGTCATACTGAAAAATTATAATGATTATACAGCAAGTGGAAGATCATGCAAAAGATGGAGAAAACCATAATAAACAGTCTTAGAACAATAACAACCAGCTTACAAAGAGCAATGGAAAAACACACAAAAGGTTTATATCTCCTCCCAACACTTCACTGGGGTAACGAGTTATAATATTATACAGCAAGTGGAAGATCATGCAAAATATGGAGAAAACCATAATGAACAGTCTTAGAAAAATAACAACCAGCTTACTAAGAGCAATGCAAAAACACACGAAAGGTTTATATCTCCTCCCAACACTTCACTGGGGTAACGAGGAAAAGAAGTAGAAGCAGAAATAGCCTGCAGTTCCATATTGTTTATCGCTATAACATTATAATAAGACAGGAAATATCATATGATCAAGTTCCAGTCAAGTATGGCAGACAGGCAGGCAGACTGTTTTAGTTTTGGCAAGTTATTTGTTTCTGGTAATGGTTAGTTGTTGCATTTTCTCCCATATGTGGACTGAACGTATATAATTCTGGGGCCTAGCTTCTGAGCTGAGTGCTTGGTGTGACACTGTAAGCTGTAATTTAATTTACATTAAATTGTGCTTAATGTGGTTTTTATTGTAAACTGCAGATTCAGAAATGGTGAGCGACTTGTTGCCACAGAATAAGTGTTGCCATATGCAATACTGCATGCGCAATAGCTGATTTATTGTTACTACTGATACTGTCAACAAAGAATTGAAATTCTATAAGTGGAATGTTTGTGTTGGCAGATCTGATAGCTGCCTTTTGCATTTAATGTGTTTTTATGCTATTGACTTTGCCATCTGTTTCAATTTTTCAAAAAGGAACAGTAATGAGCATCCTGGATGGCTTTTACTGACACAGGAACGGAGTAATTATGGGGTCACCATTTTGACATGAATTTGGAACTGTGTATAATTAATTAATTTGTGGTAATCTACTAAATTCATAATATTTTATATGATACTTTTAAATTATGGTGATTACCTTAGTCAAACAAGCAGTGTGACTCTCTCCACAGCAGATGTACTTCACCTTTTTATCGTTGAAAAATCTGCACCTCTTTGGTGTATCACTGTCTGATATACATAAGTCAATGTAAAAAAAACCAAGGCATTGGTTCATTAACATAGAATGCTATATTTGGTCAATATTTAGGGGAAAATTACACATAACTTTTTTCCATCAAACAAATTTTGATGAGTTGCTTTCTAAATAAGAGAAACACTTTATGTTTCCTTCAGAAGAAATGTGTGATGGATAAAGAAACCAATGATTAGCAGCATGGGGATAAGCTGATGGTGGCGACACAAGCTTTCATGTAGCTGGAATTACAGGAATATTCCCATGTGTGCAATTATTTAAAAAACACACAGAGACAGAGAGAGAGAGAGAGAGAGAGAGAGAGAGAGAGAGAGAGAGAGAGAGAGAGAGAGAGAGAGAGAGAGAGAGAGATTCTTTATAATGATTATACAGCAAGGGAAATATCATGGAAAAGATGGAGAAAACCACAATGAACACACAGAGAAAGAGGGGGGGGGGGAGAGAGAGAGAGAGAGAGAGAGAGAGAGAGAGAGAGAGAGAGAGAGAGAGAGAGAAAGAGAGAGATATTCTCTGTCCATGATCTGGCAGGTCCAGGCAGGCTTCTGAAGCAAACAGTTAACTGTCCCTGTAAAACTGCACGTAAAAGTAAGGTAAAGACCCCCCCCCCCACCCCGGCACATATAGTTAGACCTATATTTGATAGACCAATCAGCATTCAATGGGATATATGGTCAACATCTGAGCACCTATGGATGTGTCCAGAGTGTCATAAAGATAGCCTAACTCATATTCATAACCAGTGACTGTGTGTTGAGAGATAAAATATGTTAAGAAATGTATCCAATTTGATCTATTCATCTGTCCTTCTAGTGACTGATGGCTTCGGGTCTATATTTGCGACAAGTTCTTTTTATTTTTCATACTTAAGGAGTGGAAATTTAATTTTGAATCTTTTAAACTAAACTAAAAAACTCTTTACTTATAAAGTAAACTAAAAAACTCTTTACTTATAAACTAAACTGAAGAACTCTTTATTTATAAACGAAACCAAAAAACTCTTTACTTATAAACTAAACCAAAGAACTCTTTATTTATAAACTAAACCAAAAAACTCTTTACTTATAAACTAAACTAAAGAACTCTTTACTTATAAACTAAACTAAAGAACTCTTTACTTTTAAACTAAACTAAAGAACTCTTTACTTATAAACTAAACCAAAGAACTCTTTACTTATGAACTAAACTAAAGAACTCTTTACTTATAAACTAAACTAAAGAACTCTTTACTTTTAAACTAAACTAAAGAACTTTTTACTTATAAACTAAACTAAAGAACTCTTCTGCCTTTCTAACCCCCAATGGAGCAGAGGCCTTCAACCAACTCACGCCAAGTCATTATATCCTTTCCTATCACATGCAGCTCTCCCCATGTCCTCCCCATCTTTCTAACCATTCTCCAGCTCCCTTCTACGTGTGTTTTTTGGCCTTCCTTTATTCCTATGCCAAAAATTACACATTTACTATCATACAAACATTTATCAGATTTTAATATTTGTCACTTCCTGGCTCATAAAGTAATTTGTTATTTGGCTGCTAAATTATTGCACTTACTTTCTGTATTGTTCAGACCTAGCTGGCCACAGCTGTAAATTAATAGAAAACAAACGATTTATACCAGCAAATGACTATGAAAGCAAGACAGTTCATTGCCTGCAGCATTTGTTATGAAAAGCAGATATATCTTATTTTACAGAAATAAATTTTAACTCAAGTTTTAACCAATGTTGATACATTTCTCCACTCCTTGTGACCCTTCCTGTGGTTACATTATCCCACTTTGTCCCAATTCTTACTTAACTAATTCAGTATCAAGCAACAACTCATGTGATGGTGTGGTTTGGTTTGAACAATGAATCAACATCATGGCACAAGGGTAGTAAGTGCTCCGTTCTACTTCCAACTCAAGCTTGAGTCCGAAGAATCTCAGCGCAGTGCACGAACTCTGTAGCACTGGCGAAGATCCTGAACTACTCTAGGTAGACTTCAACTGCAATTTTTTTCCCGGGCAGCGCAGTTAGGCTACTCTTCTAAATTTCCAACTGCCTAGGGATTTTTTAAGTACACAACAATATACACGATCTTCTTCACAGAGATCGGGGTAAATTACTAGAAGTCCATGTGAAAAAATCCCAGCATTCACCGGGGCCTGAACCAGGGACCTCCAGCACTCCAGGTGGATGCCATGTCCCTACACAACTCACTATGAGTCATAGCCGTCAGAATCTGGAAGTTTAGGCACCTTGAGCGCCCCCCCTCTTTCTCTAATTTTTTTGTGGAGGAGCACAACACTCCCCCCCCCCCCTTCCCCCTCCCACCAAATATTTCCTCTGCTGCGATGTGCCTGCTATGAGTGAGTTTGTTGGTTTCACCTGTCATAATATATATTTCTTAACTCCTTGAATCCCAGAATGCTTTTACACACACCTACTCTGCACAAATTATTATTTTAATTTCTCATGTCCTCTGGTGCTATAAATTTAACTCATGAGACTCAAAAATTGATTACTAAGAGTTGAAATTTCTTAGAATACAGCAAGTTACATGCCTGGTAGTGAAAGATTTAGGATCCTGCTTTCTTATAATATAGGCATTCATTTATTAAAGAAACAACTAAAGAAACAACTAAAGAAACAACTTCTTAGAATATAGCAAGTTAAAGCTGGTACTGAAACATTTAAGATCCTACTATCTTATAATATTGACATGAATTTATTAAAGAAACAACTTCCTAGAATATAGCAAGTTACATGCCTGGTAGTGAAAGATTCAAGATCCTGTTGTCTTATAATATCGGCATGAATTTATTAAAGAAACAACTTCTTAAAATATAACAAGTTAGGGAAATATCTGCTTAGCACTAAAGGAGTTAAAGACAACAGTAAAGCTTAAAAAAAAAAAAAGAACTTTTTTATTGCAGAGCTTTTAAACTCATTCAGCTGAAACATATTAAAAGAAATTTTCACTTATTCTTATTCTGTTATAAAATCAAGAAGTATTCAGGCTGCATTATAAGTACATAAATATATGATATGAAATATATCTTGTTCTTGTTTTGTGAATATCCAACTGTACTGTTAAGCATCACAGACTACAGATGGTATGTAGCTGAGCTAGGATTCGCTTGACTGCTTGATGAAGTGTGCTTGTTTTAGGCTGTCAGCGACAAATTTTATCCATCTTCTTCCAAGTTCCCTCTACATCGTGGTGTTACCATTTTAATGTTGTAGCTTTCACTACCTGCATTGTTGGATTCATTCTTACTATTTGGCTAAACCTCTTCAATCTTTTTGTTTTCCTCAATGAATTTAATTATGGGTTTTGATACAAAAATTCCTCTAATCCCTTTATTTCTAGCGCCACCTCTTCTGGTTTTATTTACAGCCTTTCTCAAACATCAATTTCACAAGTGGTTAGTTTTTGCTCATTCTCTTTGGTTAAAGCTGGAATATATTTCTTCAGGCCATGCCGGCATGGTGGGTGATGAACAGGCATACAGATTGGCTGGATCTGCACCACTGGGTGGTGAATTGATATATGACAAGGCAGATGTAGTCAAGGCCCTTTGGGAACAAGCAACGGAATCAGTAGAGATAGAAGATTATTATGGCCTGGAGAGAATGAGGCATCTGGATGTAACCAGAGGGTCTGGCCGGCTCATTACACTCAGAGGAAAGGCAAGATGGACATATAACCAGATTGTGACCGGTACCATCACTACTGGAACTCTGTGCTGGCTGCTGAAGATGAGGATATAGCATGCATGGGAATGCCCCGAGTGCTGTGATGTAAATTCTTGACTCAACTCAACTCAGCTGGAATATATCTTAAATATATCTGCCATATCCAAAGATTTGTAAATGACTTTCCAAGTTTAAGCTCCTACACTGAGAAGTACGACTCTATTTCACATTGCTGTCCACAGATTTATCATCATCATCAGCATGCAGTGGTTCCTTTACTCAAGTCATTGTCAACATAGTGCACCAGAGAGATTATCTTTTATAGTTTCCCTGCCTCTTTTATTTTCATACTTCAAGTGTTTCTAATATCCCATCTTCATTTTTGTGTTGGTGGATCTAACTTCCAAGGGCTATGTATTTCACAGAAATCACCTTTTTTTCCAGACATTTATGCAGTTTACATCATTATTATTTGAGATATTGTCTAGTTTACAGCTGTTGGGATTTTATTATGACAGATACAGTACAATGAGTATTTAGATAGGTGTATTATTATTGTGTAGTTTAAGTAGTGGATTTATTACGTCCTACATACAGTCATTGATCATCCTCAATAATTGTAGCCTTTGAAGTAATTATTTTCAACAATTATATTAGTATTTCCGTACCCTTCTATATGTGGACTTTAGTCCTAGTAATAAATCACTTTCTTCGTCATTTATGTATTGTGAATATTTATAATACAATAAGAACTTATTTGTGGCATTCGTAGACCAGGAGAAGGCATTTGACAGAGTAGACAGACAATTATTATGGAAAGTAATGGCAAGATATGGAGTAAGCGAACACCTCATCGAAGTGTGCAAAAGTTTATACAGGGATTGTAAAAGTGTAGTTAGAATAAATCAGGGAACATCTCATCCATTCACAGTGACATCTGGAGTAAGACAGGGGTGTGTCTTATCACCACTGCTGTTTATCACCTACATCGACAGTATATGCAAGAATGCCAAGCCCATGAATGAAGATCTTATTAAGATCAACGAATTACTCTTTGCAGATGACCAGGCCTTGATAGCAGATACAGCCATGAAATTGCAACAACATCTAACATCCATGAATGAAGAATGTAAAACAAATAATATGAGAATCAACACTGAAAAGACAGAAGTAATGTCAATAGGAAAAAAGAAGACAGATCTAAACATAGCAATAGAATACAAAGGCATTAAACAAGCATCTGAGTTTAAATATCTGGGAACTACATTTACCGAAGATGGGAAATTGGATAAAGAAATTGACATTAGATGCAGTAAAGCAAACCAAGTATTGGGACAGTTAGGAGTGACCATAAGAGATAAGATCAGGAATGAGATCATAAGAGAACAAGTAGGCACAGAACCAATTCTGGATTACATACAAAGACAGCAAGTGAAATGGTTTGCCCACTTGAAGAGAATGCCTTGTGACACCATACCATACAAAGCATACATGGAAAGAGAAGAAGGACGTAGAGCACAGGGTAGACCAAGAACAAGATGGAAGGATAACATTAAAGAAAATCTACAACAGCACGACAGAACCTTATATCTCCCTCGACACCCATAGCGGTAAAAGAGGAAGTGAAGAAGAAGAAGAAGAATAAGAATATTTATATTTTTCTTGATTTATTACAGTCACAATTTTAATCTAAGAAAAAAAAATTTTACTTGTCTAAAAAGTTCATGAATATTTACAAAAAATTATAAATAATGCTTTATTAAAATATCAAAGTCATAAAGATTGTATTAACAATTTTAAAAACTACCCATGACATTCTGATGAAAAATTTTTTTTTTTAGTAAAGGGCCTATTTCCATACCTTAAGGCACACTGGGAATTTAGTAAGTTGACACTTGATGAGTAATGCTGTTAATATCATGGTAGCTCTCTTTACTTCTCAGAAACATCATACTTTATATAATTCTGTTGTTTATTATTACTAGGTCTCAGGCATGTGCATAATATTTTAATGCAGTCATTTCAGAGTCAGTATAATTTTGTGTGTGTGCTGTGCTTTGTTTCTTGCTGTTTGTTTTGTTGAAGAAGGCTTATTGCCACAACATCCTCTGTTTGTTCATTTCAACTGGTATTCTAAAGCTGACATATACGTTATACTTTTCTTACCCTTTTTTGTGTGTATACATATGAATTTATCTGGGTGTGTGTGTGTGTGTGTGTATGTAAGTGTGTAAGTGAGTAAGTGAATTAGTGGGCATGTGCATGTGGGTGTGTGTATGCGCACATGAGTGAGCCCATGCCTTTTACCACCAATGCTATTGTGTTTTTTCTTGGTTTTCATAATATGCATATTATTATATGATCATAACATGCCTTATTGAAAAAATGCAATTTCTGTGTGAAAGGTGACTGGAAATGTCGAAGGTAAGAAGGGCCTGCGTGCCCAAATAAAGTTTGTTCGTTCGTACATTTTTCTATCTGTTTTTTGTTGTTGTTGTGTGTGTGGACTTTACTTCTCCGAACATTTCCTGGTACTGATTATTTTCCAACATGCAAGTATAGATCAATTTTTAAAATCAGTCTAAACCAGAATTTGAACAGTGCTGGGCTGTAAGGGTGCTAACAACTGTACCACAGTGGCTCGCCTTGATATCAAGAATGTATACTTATTAGACAACAATGTCTGGAGATGCTAGTACTTTAACAACAAACTAACAGCATCATCTTACTCATTCCTGCCCCATCCATAGACAGATCCTGACTTGGAGAGTAGAAAACTGTGATAGCTGCCGGCTGTTATCAGCATCACTGGTAATCCCTTGAGGCTTGAGATTACCTCGGGAAGATTTTGATGAGAAGTGCTTTTCCCAAGACCCAGTTGTCCAAAGCTGTTAGAGCCCCAAGAAAACACAAGGCCATCTAATAAAAAATATGAAATGTAATATAATTTTCCAATTTTTTACATTATCCTTAAGAAAATACTTATTAATATTATCAACTTCAATATAGTATGAATGATAAGACCAACTGTCCTATATGGCTGCAGTAAAACTAAAAAAACGGATGAAGCATTATTGTAAATGTTTGAGAATAGGGTTTTACAATGAATTTTAGAGCACATCAAAGATGCAGACAATGGAGAATGGAGAGTGAGAAGCAACGAGGACATTCATAATCTATTTAAATCACCACAATTACTGGCAGCATGAGGGTTAATAGATTATGACGATGGGACATACAGAAAGAATGGAAGATAATAGAGAGATAAAACTGCATGCACACACAAAAAAGTGAATTGAAACAGACATCGAAAAGACCAAGAATATAGTCAAGAGATAATATGAAGGCAGGCATACACTTGCAGTCACCAAACAGAATGAGAAAGTTAATCACAGAGATGAATAGAAGTGGATGATATCTGCAGCAATGAACCTCTAGAATTCAGAGTGCTGAAGAAGAAGAAGAAGAAGAAGAAGAAGAAGAAGAAGAAGAAGAAGAAGAAGAAGAAGAAGAAGAAGAAGAAGAAGAAGAAGAAGAAGAAGAAGAAGAAGAAGAAGAAGAAGAAGAAGAAGAAGAAGAAGAAGAAGAAGAAGAAGAAGAAGAAGAAGAAGAAGAAAATGCAACAGCAGCATGAAGAGGAGGAGGAGGGCTAAGAAGATAACAATTAAGAAGAATAAAACGAAGAAGACGAAGAAGAAGAAGAAGAAGAAGAAGAAGAATATATTATACAAATATAGGTAAATTATTATATTTTCCTATTTTAATGAAAGAAGGATGTTTTCTACTTCTGCCTTTCATCTTTCAGTGGAGTATAGGCCCTCAGCCAGCTGCAGATTTTTTTTTTTTTTTGTAGCTTCGAAAAAAAATTACTTAACTTTTTCTGGTTCATGAAATCTAAGGTGCATGACTGACTCTTCTTTCAATCTCAAAAAGGCATGTGTTTTCTAAATGTGTCCATGTATCACAGAAATCTAAACTCCCTGGGACTCAAAACGTAACAATAAATATTTGGTTAACATGAAAATATTATGGTCCCAGCAACCATGTATTATTCATAATATGTCTACTAGTCCCAAGTTAACACAGTTTTTTTTTAAACACATACTCTTTTCAACCCCCTTGGAATTTGTGTTAATGAGGTATCACAGTATATGTAAAGCAACATTACTGTGAACCACACAGCCTGTTGCAGCTGTTCTGTTTCTTTATTTTTTTTTGAAAGAAAACAAAATACATGTAAACCAACACTACTGTAGACTATATACCATTTGACAATGCCAATGTGTGAACACTCCCACAAGATATCTGTACCACCGAGTAGCCCGCAAGAGATTTGACCAATCTGAAATGCAGTTATTATTGTTTAAATATATCGTTGGCTTCAAAGAAAGAAATTTCAATGTAAAAATACATCAATTATTTGTAAAGCAAAACTTTAAGAACTTCAGAATAAAATTACAGTTTTCAATTATATCAGTGGTCTCTGTCTGGGAAACAGATTGCTGGAGGAAAGGAGGATGCTTAGAGATATCCTATGACAAACTCCCACCAAGGACTCAAAAGACCTAGATTCCATACATGATATAAAAATGACTGTAAGGACATAACTGAATGGAAATGCGACTGTGAGCCCTGAGTTATGTATGAACTACACAACAGGAAGCAATATGGCACTGTAGAAAATGGTTACCCTTTATATTTAAACCTTCATATAGGTGAGAGAGTTGCCGTGGCGTTAGCGGCTAGACGCCTGCCTGCAGATCAGAAGGTCTAGGGGTTCACATCCTGATGGAGCTGGACTTTTTTATTTTTTAAATGACCTTGACTCCCAGGTCAACGCAGCCTTGAATGGGTACCAGGTGCAATCCTGGGAAGTAAAGGCGGCCGGCGTGATGCTGATCACATCAGCCATCAAGTGTTGATTGGTCTATAAAAATATAGGTCTAACCCTAGATTCCCAATATGCCTAAGGATGTAAAAAAGGGGCCTACTTTTGTTCATATAGGTGACACTTCACCAGATTTAGCTAATGTTTGAAAAATCACTATTTTAAAATCATTTCTTATACATTTACAGGAAACTACAGTTAATTCTTATTCTTACAGTCCATGCCATGAGGTGCTGGTAATTATGTCTGTCCACAAACTTTTCTCTCATGTACTTTCAAACAGTTCTGACATAGATGATCTTCTACGCCATGATTTCAAGTGTCCAGCGTCTTCTCTCTTGGTCTTCCTCTGACTCTTTTCCCCTCCGAATTTCCCATTATCAGGATAAACTCCAGTTTTCTCCTTCTCAAGATATGACCTCAGCATGTAGATAACACAGAATATTTGAATATAATATTAAAATTTAATTATATTTTGAATGTGTGAATCAACACTTTAAATAAATTACTTCAAATTGTTTTCTTTATATACCAAATTTGTTTTTAAAACTGGCATCTTAAGTTAAATTTTCACTTCACTCTTTTTTTCTTTCTCTCCCCTTCTTCTTCTTCTGCTTTGTTTATTTCTTATTTTAGCAAACTTTATAACTAGCTCATTTTGAACTATATTTTCTTTTTATTCCAAGTAATTTCTTCCTAGTCTTTTTAGTTCTATCTCCATCTTGAGGGAAAGAATAATTTCTGGCTTTTTTGTTTTAAATTTTTCTGATACCAGTTGACAGAATTTCCCAGTTAGATATTTATGCAGAATGTTCTAGCCAGCTTCACACCCTCCTTCCTTTGACACCTCTCAGACACACTTGGTGCTCTATTCTACTCATGGAAACAAGATTTTACTAAATTTTGCAGGATGGGACAATATTTTGAAAAACCTGTTGATAATAAAACTATAGAGTTGAGTTAAGTTAAGTCAAAAATTTACATCACAGCACTCTGGGCATTCCCATGTGTGCCTTATCCTCATCTTCAGCAGCCAGCACTGGGTCCAATACCAGTGGTACCAGTCGTAATCTGGTTATATGGCCAACTTCCCTTTCCTTTGAGTGTAGTGAGCTGGCTAATAAAACTATAATGCCCTTGTACTGAAACCAACACGATCACAGAAAGAGGTGATTAAAAAACATTAAGGATAAAGCAGATAAAGAAGAAAAAGACCCAATTTTTATTTTTATACAAATCTGAATACCTATCATAAAATTATTGAAATCTTCACCCTCTGACTTTCCTAGCTTGTTATGTTCATAACAACAATAAAAATAACAACAAATAAAACAACAAAAAAAGAAACAAAGTATCCTTACTTGGGGATTCCTCTATTTTTTCTAGAAGCCTCCCGCCCCAGTTGTCCATATTCATTTCTTCCCCAAGTGTGTACACTATGATCTTCAGTTAATATCACATTATGAGAGTCACCTGCAGCTACCTGAATCACCTTCTGATTCTGTACATTTTTAACAGGTGCTGGAATAAAGAAACAAAATCATTCATCATCATTAACTTCCACTTCTGCCGTAAAGCGGCGTAGGAAGGAACAGTATGCAGCCCAACACTCAGTGGGTGGTAATGGCAACTATCTTTCTGTGTGGATGTAAAATATTGGTAATGTAATCCATCCATAATCGTCTTGGCCACCCTCTTACTCTCATAAAAGATCATTTTAGGTGTAGTGTCTGTTTTGATAGCTGTAGCTGCAATCTAATGAAATTATTAACTCTTTGAGTCCCAATGAATGCATCATACGTTCATAGGTTCCTACCTAGAAGCCCAATGAACGCATGATAAACCGATTTTATTACTTTCTTTACTACCCCCTGGGCATGTAATGCTAAACCCCCTGGGACTCAAAGAGTTAAACAATTTATCGTCTGATTCTCAAACAGTGATTAGTGCAGATAGACCATTATTGTTTGAGGGCTGCAAGGAGTCACTAGGAGATTTGACTGATGCTCAACACTCAAGGAAAAGGCGAGTTGGATATACAATCAGACATTTACTGATATCATCGAAATTCGAACTCTTTGCTTGCTGCTGAAGATGGGGAAGGAGCACTTATGGGAGTGTCCCTAGTGCTACAATCTTGATTCTTAATTCAACATACAACATTCATTCTCAAAAGATTTGGTGAAAGGTGTCGTTCCCAAAGTATGGCTGATAGTATTATTTCTCACACAGTCTCAGATTGTTAAGTAGGCAGCTTTTCTCTAGCATCAAACCTCTCAGTTCTTAATTTTACAAAGGTGAGCCTGTGATAATGTCTATGTTTGGCACTGGAAGCACAGTGTTGGTATTAATTTGCTATTTAGTTAGGTTTAGTCAATTGTGTATTCTTTACAGGATCTTCAGAACCAACCCCAGCATTTGTTGGCTATTTTGGTTTTACTAAGCTTTCTGTAGTATGTTAATATGCTGTTTACACTTAACAATATATAAAAAATACATATTCATTATCAACACACACAATATTAAAGGGACCTGTGGTGGTACAGTGACTAGCTCACTTACCAACCATTCCATTATTCATAGGTTTGCATCCTCATTTAGGTAGATTTTTAAAATTAATTTGTGCTCCCTGGTAGATCCAGTCTAAATTGGATATAGAAACATTTCTGAGAAGTGAACATTATATACCCAACACACCAAAAGGTGTGGAAATTGGAGCTTGCAAACCTATTTATATAATGAAATTTTGTTATAGGATCTTTCTTTTAGATTTATATATCCTTTACCAAATAAGGCAAAACCTTTGCACTGTTACTTCAATTATGAATGTGTGTCTTCTTCTTCTTCTTTCTTGTTTTGCCTTTTATTCCCTAATGAAACACTGGGCCTCAACCAACTCATGCCAAGTCTTTCTATTCTTTCTTTTGCATACAGCTCAACCCATGTCCTCCCTATCTTTTTAACTTCACTCTCTTGCTCCCTTCTCATTTTTTGCTTCTCTTTTTGACTTTTCTGGTTTTTTTTTTAAATTTTGTGGTTATTGTTTTTACAAGCTAAGGTAGTCAATGCCATGCTCAACCCTACCATTTGTTGCTTCTAACGACATGTGTGGTAGGCTGCAGTGTTACTATTCTTTACTTCCCATGAGGGCCTTGGTAACATTAAGGCAATGTGTGTGGAGTATATGTGGGTGAGTGAGTGAGTGATTGTTAGTGTCCGTCTAATGATGTAGGTTGCTGATTGTAACTGGTAGACACAGGGCACCACTGGTATTAGAACTCTGCGCTTGCTGCTGGAGATGGGTACGGAGAGCTTATGAGAATATCCTGAGTGCAGTGATCATGGTTCTTAGTAAACTCAACTTAGCTCAGCTGGTAATCATACACCTCCATAGCTCCCAGTCTCAAGCAGCACACACAAATTCTTGTTCCTTTTAGGCATTTGGTTAGATCATCAGTTCTCAACCTACCAGTCGCGACCCTTTTTGGGTCAGACAACCCTTTCGCAGGGGTCACCAAAGACCATCAGAAAATACATATTTATTTAAGTTATGAAGGAAAATAATTGTTTGTGATTCGCCACAACTTGAAGGAACTGTATTAAAGGGTAGCTGCATTAGGGAGGTTGAGAACCACTGGGTTAGATGCACTGATAATGACATAACTAGAATACATTGGAAAAAACATAACCAGTCACTGCATAATTTCGGTCCCTCTGTACATGTTGTAAACCGTGACCAGCTTACATTCTAATATACAACCCAAAAGGATACTATTTCAAATATTAATGATACAAATAGTAAGGTAAATTTTGGAGAAAAATTCCATCTCAGCCTTGATTCAAATCAAAGATTCTCTTGCCGAAATGTATCAGATTTTAACTATGGCCAAGGAAACAACAAAACTAAGGAAACAAAGATATCCAGTAGTATGACATAAAGATATGAGATGTCACAACAATTAACCACACACACACACAAAGACCAGGGAGATGATTACCACTTAAACTGTCTTGTTGCTTAAAGATATTATAAATAAATGTTACATTAAAACTTAACACTATCAACAAGATAAATTTATTATGAAGCAAAGAGCTAAAATCTCACCCAAATTTTCCAAAATCTTTTCAGCTGCTGGATGTTCAGAATCATGAGTACAACAATGGACCGTGCCATCTTGACAGCAAACCAAAGTGCCACTAAGTCTGCTGCTTAAACTTTTAATACCATTACCATTAGAGGATTGTATTTTTCTGCAAACTATGATCTTGTCTGATCTTTCTGTGCTTGTAGTCTTTAAATCGTCATGCTCCCAGACCACAACAGATGTCATTTTTGCTGTTTTATCTTTACCCTACTAAAATAAATGTTATTTTATATGTGTTGGAAATATGCTGCAGGATTTTTTATTGTTATTGTCTGATATTCAGAGGAATATGGTTAATTATTAAAACATACACTTGTAAATACCAATTTAGTTATAGACGTATCACATTTAAAAAAATGTATTGTTTAACAACTGAGTAGTAAGGTTCCGCCCCCTCCCTCCCCTTTTTCACCCTTTAACACACAGAGAAGTATAAGTATTGCTTACAATCCTATACAAACAACCACAATGTTTCAATAAACATTTTGCCACGGCGCCCTAACCTAAGTAAAAGAATTAATATTCGTATGTAAGAGGTCAAAACATAAACAAATAAAACGCGCGTATCTTCTAATATTTAGCAGCGCCCCCGTGAAGAGGTCGCGGCTACCCCGGGCGCCGCGACGCGCAGTCTGGGAATCACTGAATTAGTGAAATTCCTTGATAATTCTCCTAATAATTCTACTAGATACTATTAGTATTTAAAATACTTGCTGCTTTCTTTGATATGTGACCTGTGACTTTAAGTCGAGCCACCTATCTTAGATCCTGACTGAGAATTCAGGTACATCGAAACACTTATGATGTTTAATGGAAGCACATCGTCATTTCAAGACCACAATCACATAAGTAAGCAATAATTAATAAATCACAACTATCTTAATAGTTAGTTATTTACACGCTCTAAAAATGTTTTGAATATATTTTTTGCAATGCAGTATATATGATATGCAACGAATAGTAATAAAATGTGGCTACTAAATTATTGCAACAGTGTTTTCTTTTTAAACTAATTAATATGTTGTGCAATCTCATATCATAAGTTCTAAGAATGTGTCATGTAACCGCTAGCCTATCGCTGAGTGAGAAATGAGACTACGATGACTTGAGGTGTTGTTATACACGTTTCTGAGAAGCAGCATTGACTCTGTGCTACTATTTATTATATGACTTTAATTGCAATCACAAATTTATCCACATCAACCTGCTGCTAAGTAAGCAAACTTACTGTAGACACAAGATTAAAACATAAACGTTATTTTGAACACCGTAATATGTCGTTGTATTAGATAATATTAGCGGTTTTCTTTTTCTTGTTTTTATATTGCAAGAAATCAAAACTGAAAACAGGCGGCTAAAAATAAACATTGCGTGTGTTGGAACGTCCAGTGACGAGAGGGGGAATTCCCGATTCTGGGATATGATTATTCATAATTGTTATGTTATCAAAATCGATGTCATTGCACATTGGACATTTCCGTGTTTGCTCTGTCCTAATGTGATGCTGACCACATCACCCACTAAGTTCCGATTGATCTATAAAAATATAGGTCTAGCCCTATATTCCCAATACGCCTACATACGTGCAAAAGGCACCGTTTTACTTTTATGTTTGCTCTGTCGTCCGATGGAGCAGAAATTCCAGTCGTGGCCTACCTCTACTAACTGTTCCCATGAGAAGTTGGCAATGATGTCTCCTGTCTATACCTCGAAGACAATGTAGATGTGATTCATCAAGCTTTACTCCAGATCACGAAGTCGTATAAGCGTCAGAACTTCATCTTTATTCCCAACCACGACCGCTTTCCAAAAGGCTGTGCCCCTAAACTAGTTCGTACAGCGTTGGTCATATCAGGTCTGTCCATGCTTCTTCTCGTATGCGTCAGTGCGTTACTTGCCAGCGAGTAGGCTCGTTCGTTACCTTCTGCTCCCGCGTACTAGTTATGTAGATCCAGATAATGAAGGCTAATTAAAATTTCCAAATGCTTTCTACGCATTCCGAGCGCAAACTATCTGTTGTGATTTTCTGAAACATGTTCGTGGGGTGTGAAACGATTACCGCATATGTGGCATCTAGTTCTGCTACCCCGCAAGTGCTCTGGAAGCAGCAGTTATCTCCCTGGTCATGCTTGACGTAGTTGCTCGGTAAGCGCCACTTTCCTCTTTTATTGTTCCCCCTATCCTTTGAGGCAGCATCTTACACGGTATTATGAAGTTAATTATTCAGTTATGAGTGATCAGAGGGTCTGGGCTATTTCTAACCTCAGAGATAAAAACAAATGAACTTTTTCTCAGGTTGCAGCCGACATTGTCTGTATGGGAACTGTTTAACGGCTACTGAAAAAAATGGTAATGAGCACGCATAGGAATGTCTTTAATACAGTGATGTTAATTCTTGATTCTGTTATTCATTAATGTATATCATCAAGATCGTCATCACTTCACATTGCGCATTCCTGTATTGGATCAACACCCCCGATGCAGCAGCAACCTGTCTAACGTACCTTTGCTCACTCTTTCCAAACAAATCTGGGATAAGCAGGTTGGCGATTGTTACCCCCCCCCCCCCCCCATCCCCCGCAGGACTGTTGAATACCTCAGGGATGAGAAAATAAAGCAGGAGCTAATCACAGAACCCCCATTCTTTCGCGTAATGTTTATATATTGGCACCCATACGGTTCCGAAGTAACCTATATTCCGGGGTGGCGATGAGATAGATATTTGTTTGGCGCCACAACAAGGTGTTATAAGAGTTAGCAGCCGTTGTGGACCAAGCTAGGATGAGGGCCAATGCGAGGGCCAGTCCTACCATCGTCCACATACGCTTCCTCGAGGCTGGGCAGATTCATAAAAGAAGTTTCAACAAAGTCGCATACGCTCCATATGTGCTAGACTGTGCGAGGGACTGGTTACTGGCGGTTGACCTGCTTGGCCATGAAAAGTACCCTCAGTTAATCCGGAAGACCGGCCTGCGACCTGACATAGTTCTCCACTCTGATTGAGCTGACCGTGCGAATGGACGAAAGCCATATGTATAAGCTCGAGAAATACAGTGACTTAGCAGCCGGTCAAAGGAGGGACGAAGCGTACACAGTAAGAGTCGCAAGAGGTCTCGTTTCCACCTCACTCTGCAATGTGATTAAAGAACTAGGCTTACGAGGTAATGAACGCAAACGGACACTTAAACAGCTGGGCGAGGTTGCTAAGAGGGCCTCGAGCTGGCTCTGGACACAACGGAACAACGTAGGGGACGGGCCTCGGTGAGCTGGTCCGGGTGTCTAGCGGAAAAGAATTTCTCTTCCCTTAAAGTCCATCGTGTCCGAATTGTCTGCCATTGTCCCTCTGCCATCTGCTAAAAGTCCAACATGTATCCGGTAAACCAATCGTAAGCTTGCCACTCGGTCGTTCAGCTATGCAGACTGCTCTAATTATGCTACCGCAACGACTTCTTATCTCACAGTGCCTTTTGCAAATCACCAATTCGTCTTGTCCCTGTCAGAATAACATCCGGTAATACGTGCAGCAGGAGAAACCAACCCTGAGCTTCATGTACTCAGATGGGCCCACTCTCTGAAAATGTATAGGAGTTCATGGGCCGAAACATTTGTCGACGAGAGGTTACTTCTACTGATGATTGGTAGACCCCTGCTGTACATGCTCCCCTGTGGAGTTTCTTCTTATTGTTTAATTAAACCACGAAGCTTTTTACAATGTCTTTTATCATAACATCGAAGATGGCATAGACTTTCTTCGGCAGGATTAACTCCTTTGTAACTTAGTGAGGTTAGCGCCAGACACTCCTCCTTATCTACGAGTCTAGCGCTATTCGATTCATGAGTTGGGTGGATAAATATTTTAACCAGATGCTCTATCCATAGAAAAGGTTGGCTACAATGGATCTCCAACGCTGTAATCTCTTGTCCTTGTACATTCCGTCAGACCATTGTTTGTATAATATGGAAACATTATGTAATCATCACAGAGCTCAAGAAGGAGGTTGAGAAGACTTCTACAAAACAAGGAGTGGGGGGAAGTAGAACGAGGAGGGTTGTTAAAAGGAAGATAAAGAACTATTCATTGGTTCAAAAACAAAAACCCAGACCACGTCGATTAAAAGAAAACAATGAAAAAACAAAATCTTAAAAAAAAGGCATAGAGTACTATTCCTAATTGTCTCTTGAAATATATTCTAAAAAATCTGCCAAGGAATCCCAATTCGATACATTGTGAAAAACGTCAAAAAGTAGGCTTAATGAGTAGGTAGTTGTACCTAACCAGGACATCACACAAGCGATAAACACCCGGTGACACAAAGTGCCACCATGCGGATGAGGATCACCCAGAAACCCCTTTCAGCCGTTATAGTCATATCTATGGCTAGGCCATTTTTAGGTTCCGGCTATATTCAGGGTCCCCGGCAAAAGCCTTCAAAATACAACAAAAAAAAAAAAAAAAAAAAAAAAAAAAAAAAAAAAAAAATTGTATCCCACAAGGGAACGTCGAGTGTAACTTAATGAGTCATGTCAATAAAATTTTGAAGCAAATTATATTGGGAAGAAAAAGGGTTAAAACAATTGAAAACTGGGAATACGAAGTGTGGATGTGTAAAAAAAAAAAAAAATCAAAGGCACAAATAACCCCAAGAATATCACGACAAGATTAAAAATTATAGCAATTATCAGAGATGTGCATTGGTTTTATTAACTAGATTAAAAAATTTAATAAGGCGAAACATAAAATTCTTAACATTTTTGGATGCTTAAAAGATTGATGGGGAAGATCTGAAAATTAATCAAAGCAGATATTTAGGCTGCAAACGAGGATTCCCAGGAGACATTTTTAACACGAGCGTTGACAAAAGAGATCAAAAGCCCTGATTTGGACTCCACCCATGATAAGGAAAAGATTGCGCGGGATATAATGGAATGAGGTATATATTGCGAGCCCTATGTAATGTATGCATGACACAACATGATGATGACGATCTTCGTCTTCTTCTTCTTCTTCTTCTTTTTCTTTTTCTTCTTCTTCTTCTTCTTCTTCTTCTTCTTCTTCTTCTTCTTCTTCTTCTTCTTCTTCTTCTTCTTCTTCTTCTTCTTCTTCTTCTTCTTCGTCTTCTTCTTCTGCTGCTGCTGCTGCTGTTGCTTCGCGTTCACCGGCTGTAAACTACAAAAAAAAAAAAAAAAAAAAAAAAAAAAAAAAAGAAATGGTTGTTTGTCCACTGCTGGACTTTTGCCTCGTTAAAAAATTCTGAGTGTTGCGGGCACATGCGTTTTACATTTTCGCCTTATTTGTATGCAGATTAGTGGTTCCTTGCCCCTCAGACAGCACTCCGACTTGGAAGGAAGCTTCCACTTAGTCGACCCTCACGAGATGCTTGTTGGGGAGGCAGTGGGTCTATTCTTGTTTTTCTCACAAGGAGGCCAGGGAACCAGCAGGGAGAGATGATGATGATGATGGTGATGATGATGATGAGGCATAGAAGCATAAAAATTTCAGTCAGCTAGTCAATTAATAATTATTAATATCCCTCGTTCTAATAACTTTGTTCAGTGATATAATGAAATTCAGAGGGTATGGAAATCAGTTGGTGAGCATAATATAATCAACATGCGATATGCAGATAATACTGGTTTTTATCACTGAAAATGAAATTACGGTTAAAAGTGATAGTGAATAAAATAGTAATCGAAAATGAAAGTAAATAATTGTTTTTGAAACAGGAAAATATGAGAAATTTTCTTTCTTCTTTATCCGTGATCTTCTAAGAATCTTTATATAGCATTTCAGCTCGAAAGCCTCTGTTTTCTTCCTCAAGGACTGCGAGATAACCCATGACACATCCATATGCTGATACATCGCAGATGCTGTAAAGACTATTATGCTGTCAAAATTTTGACTTTGATTTTCTTGCTGGCCCTTCAGAATGCAGTATGAAATTGTGGGACTACTTTGGGGGAAAAGGGGGGGGGGGGGGGGGTGTGTGGAAGAGAAAGAGAGAAAGACAATGCGTTAAGTAAATGAGTAGGGGATGAAATATGCATTAAAGAAGTTAACTGTAGAAAAACGCTAGCGAAAGCAGCATTCTTTTCAATAAAGAATATTTAATGCACTTTGTCCTAATCATTTCAGATTTTAATATATTCATTAAGAGCTATATACACTCAGTCGTTGTGTGAATGAATGAATGAATCAATCAATCAACAATTAACATCGAGACATTCCAGCTCGCGTTCCGTCCTCTTCTTCAGCTGTCAACAAAGAATAGACATACCAGCTGCAACTGATTAAAATGCACCTATTTTCCCCGCCTCAAAATCCTGATGTAGATTAGTGAAAAGCTAATCATGTTAAAGTTATTTAAAATATGTTATTTATAATGATGATATAAACGCAATGGACAGATAGCACAATTAATAGGTCTTGACGTAAATTAACCCACCAAGAGAACGGGTTACTCCTAGAAGCTGGCAATCGGTACTCAACATCATTCTCCGCTCCCATGTGGGTCGTTTTTGTAAATGACTTACTGCGAGTATGTAGATAAAAGTTGACAAAGGTATGCTGCGCATAGAATGGCAAGCATCGCTTCAGAGATGTTGGATGATAAGCTTCTTTTGAAATTTTCTCTGTGTAATGCTGGTGTGTTGGGGAATGAATAGAGAGATAGACTGGCTAGTTGTGTACCTTGAGAGCGCGTGAACAGTTCGAAGGTACTAATATATCAATACGGTTTTAGAAGAATGGCGCTGCGAAAAATTATTTATTTCTGTGAAGAATTAACAGGGGATCTGGCCGACCACTCAAAGGCAAGACGGATGTATAATAATCAGTTACCGGTACCATCAGAATTGGAACTCTTTGCTTGCTGCTGAAGATGGGGGTGGAGCAGTTATGGTAGTTTCTTGAGTGATGTGATATCGATTTCTAATTCAACATTTAATTTACAATATAAAAATAGTGTGAGAAACAGAAAATCCAATCCAACATTACTCAACCCTTGCAAGCAGCCAATAAGAGAAGATAAAAATGGAAACTTGTCATCAGTCAATCTGTGTCGTCAGTCGTACACAATCATTCTAGTCATGAACTCCTAGACTTGTTTAGACACAGCTGCCTCAGTTTTCTTCTCTTTAGCACCAGCTCATCTCCGTCTACAATATGAGCTTTCAAAGCCACCATGCTGAGCAAGCAGCTGAATTACTGTTCGTTAGCTTCAACCAAGATTCGTCGTAAGTTGGCAGTCGTACTTCTTTTATTGAGTCAATCTGTCTCTGTTGTCGGTCATTGAACTTGCACAGTCGCTAACTATTTTACATTTCGTCTTTGTTCGTCAGATTATATCATTTTTATGTTTTCGTAGACGGTAATATGTTTATCATGAAAATATAGGGTTGGCATGCGCGTACAGTTGCTGTTCATTAAGTATAGAAAATGATTATTTTTTAACAGCATCATTCATGATCAATTATTTAGATCTTCTCATCATATTCAGTTTACTTTAATAATAATCGTAATGAATATGTTATGTTGCCAGGGATTAGTGAGGATTCTTTTTCAGAATATTACATTCTTTTAAAATTATAATAAATTATATTGGTTACTGTAATCAACTATTGTTGGTTGGCGGAATCTATCGTCGCCTGGAGATCCCCTATATCCTTCCAAATAACTTACAGGGCTCGAATTAAATAAGTCTAGGGGAATTATAACGGTCCCTGAGTTCTGGAAAATAAAGGAAGGAGAATACAGAAAGTTAAAGAATAGGGTGAATCCCCGGAAATTTCCTAAAGAAATTCAGAAAACAATCAAAGTCAACTTTGTTAATTTAACTCAAATCAACTTCAATGAACAATCTTTAGTCTACCCAAGAAGTTAAATTTGATAGGATGAAATCGATAAATGGAGTTTCTAAATAACAACTGTATTGATAAATATTGTTAGGAATTTTAACAATTTTAAATTAAGAAACAAAAGAAACAATTAATAGTTCATCATACACCACAAAGTTTCACAAATAGTCAATAACACTCAGCTTTACGATATACGGGATGTGTCCAACTGCAGCTTCTCTGGGAGGAATGTACAAAGCTCTGACTGCGACTGTTATAGTCCTCGCCTAACTGCGACATTCATCCGTGAGATCTCGGTTGTTCATTCTATACCGTCTGGTTCCCAATTCACAAGGGAACAGCTCACGATCCACAGGTAACAGTGATGGTGGTTCACAATCCACAGGTAACAGTGATGGTGGTTCACAATCCACAGGTAACAGGCATACAGGAAACGGGAATACGGGAGCACGGGAACCTGAAATCGTATATGGTACTATTATTGTGGGTGTTAGGCCGATGGTATGGCTGGCAATCGTTCTGTGTTGTGACGAAATTAGATCTCCTAGTAACACCACAAAACGTCATAAATTATGTGCGCCTTCGTACCTTTTTATTCTTTTAGCATCTATGTTTAATTATATTTATTTTACGTGCGCAATTCTTTTAACTAAAACTTGCAATTAACTCTTGCCGGACTGAAATATTTCTCCCGTTTTGTCACATATGCCCCCGGAAAATAAAATTTCAGTTACGAAATTTTAAAAAGAGGAAATTTCAGTTCCCAAAGAGTTAAAAATTAAATTATTATTTTCTTGCAATCTCACACATTTCATCATCCACTGGTATTCTGCTTAAGAAATCTGCACCCACGTTTTCCTTTCCTGGAATATACTGGACAGTAAAGGTATATGGCTGCAATAATAACGACCACCTCATTAACCTAGAATTTAATCGGTTGGAAGCTGCCAAGAATGACAAAGGTTGGTGATCACTTTGTACTACAAACTGAGTTCCATAAAGATAGGGTTGAAACTTCTGTATTCCCCAAACTAAACCTAAACATTCTTTTTCTATGGTCGAATAGGCTTGTTCTGCCCGATTTAGTTTTCGACTGGCATATGCAACAGGAAAGAGTTGGCCAGGATGTTGGCTATTTTCCTGGAGCAATGTAGCTCCTAACCCTATTCCACTCGCGTCAGTTCTTAATGTGAACTTTTTACTGATGTCAGGTAACTGTAAAATAGGTTTATTCGTAAGCCGATCTTTCAACAAACAGTATGCTGTTTCGCATTCTGGTGTCCGTATAATTTTCTCTGGAGCTCCTTTTCTAGTAGCATTAGTTAAAGGACCAGCAATGCTATTAAAATCTTTGATAAATTTTTGATAGTATCCACATAGTGATACAAAAGATCTAACTTCTTTCTTGGTAGTGGGTCTAGGTGCCTTAAGAAGTTTTTCCACATTCTTTTTCTCCGGATACATATATCCGTTCCCAATGGTGTGTCCCAAAAAATCTAGGGTCGGAAAGGCAAGATGACACTTTGAGGGTCTTGCAGTTAAACCGACGTCATTTAAACGTGTGAGAATTTTGTCAAGGGTTTCTACATGCTGATTAAAAGTTTTTGAGGCGATCAAGATATCATCCATGAAATGACAAATGGAGGAATCCTTAAGAGGATCAAGCAGCCTCCTCATCATCCTAGTGAACACAGTAGGAGCATTACAAAGCCCAAATGGAACGACGTTGAACTCGTAATGTCCTTCAGACGTGCTAAAACCCAAATATGGACGTATGTCAGGCCTTACTGGTATTTGATAGTACCCTTTACTAAGGTCCATCTTTGAAAAAAACTTTGCTCCGCTTAATTTTGCGAACAGTTGTTTCTGATCTGGTAAGGGTTCGGGTTGAAACTCAGTAATCCTGTTAAGTTGCCTGTAGTCAATACACAAGCGATGTTCTCCACTTGGCTTTCGTAACAAGACAACTCCTGCACTATACGGGGATTCCGATGGAGATATAATACCTTCTTTGAGTAAGGTTTGTATCTCTTCCCTCAAAGCCGTTTCCTTTGCAAACGGAATAGTGTAGGGCTTTTGACGAATAGGTTCTGAACTTTTGAGTTTCATATCGTACTCAATCAAATTAGTCAAACCCGGCTTATCCGTCAAAACATTACTGTGTTTGAGTAGAACCCGATTAATAGCTTGTTTTTGCTCAGGGGTTAAGGAAGGATTTACCACAACATCGTCAATGGATTCTTGTGGTTTTAAGGGGTATTCTGCTCCCATGTTCTCACCTCCCTCTATTTCTGTAGCCACTGACATAGCTAACAGAGTTGCGGGGCACTCGGTGTTCCCCTCAGTATACTTCCTGAGAAGATTTATATGATACACCCGAGTCTTTCCTCTAATAGATATCTTATAATTGGTTCGGGAAACCTTCTCCACTACCGAGTATGGTCCCATCCAACCAATTTCCAACTTATTTCTTCCCTGGGGTAGCAGTAGCAAAACTTTGTCTCCAACGTTCAGAGAACGTTCCTTCGCTCTCTTGTTATAACAGGCAGCCTGTTTTGCTCGGGCCTTTTTCAGATTATTGGCTGCCAATTCCCACCCGAGGTGAAGTTTTTGTTTTAGCTCCTCAACGTATTTTGAGGCAGTGACTACAGTTTCATCTACTGAGTCTTGAGTCCATGAATGCAAAAGAGCTTCCAAAGGCCCTTTAATGGGTCGGCCAAACAACAGAGTTGCTGGAGGTAAACCTGTGGATGAGTGGGGTACCTCTCTGTATGCAAATAAGGCTGCTGGGAGGTACTCATCCCACATATCCGGTTTCGTATTGGCCAACTTCCTCAGAATGGTCATGAGGGTACCGTTAAATTTTTCAACAGTCCCATTAGATTGTGGGTGATATGGACTGGTATGTATATGGTTGGTGTGAAAAATGCGGAAGACTTCTTCCATTACTTTTCCCCGAAACTGGGAGCCGTTGTCCGTCAGGATTTGGTGAGGAAACCCTAAACGTGTAAAAATAGCAACAAGGGCATTAGCCACTTGTTTTGAATCTATACTGGGTAACGGTAGAGCCTCTGACCACATTGTGCAGGTATCCACTAATGTTAGGATATATGCATTCCTCTTCCTCGTCCGAGGCAGAGGTCCAATGATGTCGACCGCTACTCTCTGGAAAGGTTCATGCATAATGGGCATGTTTCCCAGAGTTACCGGCGGGTTTGAGTGTCTCGGTGAAAATCGTTGACACTCTGGACACGAGCGTCCATATCTTTTAATGTCCCCCGACATTCCTGGCCAATAATAATGACAGGAAATTCTTTGGGAAGTTGCCGCTATCCCCATATGGCCACTATATGCTAATGTGTGTCCCATATGGAGGATAGTTTTCCGGTAGGGCAAGGGAACAACGAGTTGGCCAAACTCTCGTTCTGCTATCCCTGCTCTCCGGTACAATAAATTTTTCTTCATATAGAAGTCTCCTCTTTCAGGAGGTTGATGGGCATAAGGCAACTTCCTAAAGCAGGACTTTAATGATGAGTCCTGTTGTTGCGCAGCACTTATGTCCTTTGGTAAAGGATTCTGGGGTTCTGGATCAGATACTGCTGATGCTTTGGTTGATGACCGGGTATCCATGGCCCCAACTAGCATAGGCGTCTTTGGAACTGCAAGATACAAATATTTGCATCCGAGTAAAACTGGAAATATTGGGTTAGGGAGACAACCCGCGACAATAGTTCCTTTTACATATTTGCAGTCAATGTTTACCTTGGCAAGAGGTAATCTTAATGTCTCAGACTCCTGTGCAGCAGTCTGCATCTCTATAAATTCCCCAGTGTACTGCGTTGGGTCAACGAGTTCGGTAGAAACCAAGGCATCGAATAACAGACCAGTGTCAAACAGGCAGGTTACTTCTCTGCCGTTCAAAAGAATGGTATCTACAACAGGAGGTCTCTCCCCATCATGAGAGTTCATCCTGGTATTTTCCTGTTTATCATTAGTTAAACAGGCGGCGCAGAGTTGAGGGGGTTTCTTTCGGCAGTCTGCTGTATTACGTGTATTCAGACGACAATACTTACAGTAAAGCCGGCCCCTCCACTCTGACGATTGCTGACCACGACCGTCACCCCTTCGATTATCTTGCGGATGGTACCTATGATTGGTGTTGTTAGTGTTTGGTGTATTGAACTTACCATTACGAAATTCAGGTTCCCTATGTGTGTTACGTTCTGTTGGCTTTTCGGTAAATTTGGGAGGGGATTTTGAAAGGTGCATCTTTGCCCTGGCGCCCACCTGTTCAGGGTGTGCCAAATCAAATCTCTCAGCCAGCTTTAATATGTCCGCAATTCTTTCCGCACCATTCTCAGTCAGAAAGGTTTGGAGAGGTTTTGACATGGACTCTTTTAGCTGTTCAGCCAAAATCATTTCCTCTAGATCTTCATAGGTCTGGGTAAATGATGCTAAACTCTGCCATTTCAGCAGATAAGATTTAATTCTTGAAAAGAATTGAGAAATGGTTTCTCCCGGCTCTCTTTTAGCATTACGAAATTTGTTACAATATGCAGAGGCCGTCAACTCATATCTCTTCAACAAAGAATTTTTCAAGAACTCGAAGTTGGTCTCTTGACCAGGAGGCAATCTCGAATAACATTCATAAGAAGGACCTCTTAAAGACAGTGAAAGTTTCAGACACCACTTCTCTTTATCCAACAAATAAGACCTAGCAACGTTTTCGAATTTTTCCAAAAACACATCCATTCTATCCTCGCGTTCATTAAACTGCGGAAAAGGGAAAGACATCGGACCAAGAAGATGAGGATGGCCAAAAGAATGTGCCTCAGAGGCAGAAGGTTGCGCATTAACTGCGGTACTAGAGGTAGACTGAGATTGTAAATCAAGCTCTCTGAGACGGAGTTCATGAGCTCTCATCTCTCGTTCTTTCTCAGCAGCTATCTCAGCTAGTCTGATGCGTTCTTGTCTTTCTCTCTCCTCTCGCTCTTTCTCCTCTTGACGCCCTTCACGGTCCTCCTGTCGCCATTCTCGTTGTCTCTCCTGAAGATATGCCTTTAATTCTTCTCCAGCATAACCGAGAGTTTTCCCCAGCTCCGCCATCTCCATAAGTGAGGGTCTTGTTGCCATTTTAC